GTCAGAATATAATTTACATTGCTGGAATTCTTATAATTTGGTGATCATTTTGAATATAAACATCATATATTTTGCTTTAAACTTACAATTTTTAGATAAAAAATTTTCTCTAGGTAACTGTTATCTTTTGTCCAAAATATATGACATTTATATTCAAAATATTCCTGGTCTTACAAGGAATCCAGCAATGTCAATTATATTTTCCTAACTTTAGTTTGAGGTTATCCCACACATCTCCTTGGGACGGTTGGTGGGGGGTGGGGGAGGGAGGGACCGACCGACCATCTGTTAGCCGGCTGTGTAGTGTGAGAGGGGGAGGGAGTTGAGTCCATTATTTGAATGGACATTAACTTGGTGACTGTATTTCTCTATTTCTCTTAAGTATTAATTGTGTGCATGTACCATCATAAAATTAAGATGTTATTTTTACTACAACATAGGTATGTGCCTTCAAAAAGTGGAGTTTGGGGGTCGGGCCGGTTTCTATTGGAATTAATCTCATATGTTCTGTTGTTCACTTAACGCGGATTTCACTTAACGCGGGACCCTCTGGGTTCAATTGACCGCGTTAAGTGGGGTACAACTGTATATATATACTGTATATATATATATATGTATGTATGTATGTATGTATGTATGTATGTATGTATATATATATATGTATATATATATATATATATATATATATATATATATATATATATATATATATATATATATATATATATATATATATATATATATATATATATATACAGTGATCCCTCGGTTAACGAACTCAATCCGTTCCAGAAGGTCGTTCGTTAACCGAAAAGTTCGTTAACCGAAACCATTGTTTCAATGGGTTTTTGGGTAATTGGTTCCAGCTCACTGAAAATTTCCTAAATTCAACAAAAATGGTAGAAAGGTTCACTTACTTTGAAGTGTGTATGTAGAAGGCTCCTGGATGATGATGATGATGATGATGGGATTTAGAATGGGGGTGGAGGAGAAGGAAGAAGAGAAGGCATTGGGGTGGAAGAGAAGTCACCCCATGGCGCCATTTCACCCATAAAATTTTAGCTCTCTTGGTGTAATTCAAGATTATTTTCTTTAAATCAACACTGCACCGCATTATATATTGTCAATATGTAAAATATATTTCAAATTTACCAATAATTTGCTTGGAAACACAGAAAAAAAGCATTTAGTTGAAGAGAGTCTCAAGCAAGATGTTACCTCCAGTGAAAACAGAGAGAGACTAACGCCTGTTTGCTGTGTTAAGAGGCTGGATGCCACGCATTAAACTAGTCACTTTACCTTCAATTATGTTCAATAATTGTTAAAATGACTAAAAAATTGAATATTAAACTTTTAAAATTATTGAAAAGTATAAACTTCTTGATATTTACTAAAATAGTAAGGAATTTAAGCCCTAGAACCGATTAATGTATTGGCGGACTGACACTAAAGCTGGTTGCCTGGTCAGTGCAAGCGAAAACATGTTGAGGTCGGTTCGTAAGAAATTCGTTAACCGAATTTTTGTTCGTTAACCGAATTGAAGATCCTTATGGAAGGCAGTTCGTTAACCGAAATTTCGTTAACCGAGGCGTTCGTTAAACGAGGGGTCACTGTATATGTATATATATGTATATATATATATACAGTATTATATATATATATATATATATATATATATATATATATATATATATATATATATATATATATATATATATATATATATATATATATATATATATACATATATATACATATATATATATACATATATACATATATATATACATATATACATATATACATATATATACATATATATATATATATATATACAGTATTACCCCGCTTAACGCGCTTTCACTTAACGCGTTTTCGCATATACGCGGTGCCTTGCCAAAGCTGAACTTTCACTTAACGCGGCATTTTTCATCATATACGCGGTGAGTGTCCGGCTCGAGAGCTATTTTTAGATTCGCACCACCCGCCACCCTGCCTGACTGCCTGTTTTAGCTCATAAAATTCATACAAATTACCCAGCCAGAATATAATTTACATTGCTGGAATTCTTATAATTTGGTGATCATTTTGAATATAAACAACATATATTTTGTATTAAACATACAATTTTTAGATAAAAATTGTTCTCTAGGTAATTATGTTATCTTTTGTCCAAAATATATGACATTTATATTCAAAATATTCCTGGTCTTACAAGGAATCCAGCAATGTCAATTATATTATCCTAACTTTAGTTTGAGGTATTATTTATTAAAATTTAGTGGTTATCCCACACATCTCCTTGGGACGGTTGGTGGGGGGTGGGGGGGAGGGAGGGACCGACCGACCGACCGACCATCTGTTACCCAGTGAAGAATTATTTTTTTTTTTATTAACTGAAGATATTTGTTTTAGCTCATAAAATTCATACAAATTACCCGGTCAGAATATAATTTACATTGCTGGAATTCTTATAATTTGGTGATCATTTTGAATATAAACAACATATATTTTGCATTAAACATAAAATTTTTAGATAAAAATTGTTCTCTAGGTAATTATGTTATCTTTTGTCCAAAATATATGACATTTATATTCAAAATATTCCTGGTCTTACAAGGAATCCAGCAATGTCAATTATATTATCCTAACTTTAATCTGAGGTATTATTTAATACTAAATGTTAAAAACTCTTGAATGGAGGATTGGTGGGGGGTGGGGGGAGGGTTGGGACTGACCACGTGGTTGGAAGAGGGGGGGAAGGCAAGGTGGGGTACTTTGATTGACAGATAGTGTTGAAGAATATTTTTTTTTTTTATTAACTGAAGATATTTGTTTTAGCTCATAAAATTCATACAAATTATCCGGCCAGAATATAATTTACATTGCTGGAATTCTTACAATTTGCTGATCATTTTGAATATAAACAACATATATTTTGCCTTAAACATACAATTTTTAGATAAAAATTGTTCTCTAGGTAATTATGTTATCTTTTGTCCAAAATATATGACATTTATATTCAAAATATTCCTGGTCTTACAAGGAATCCAGCAATGTCAATTATATTATCCTAACTTTAGTTTGAGGAATTATTTATTACTATACCTGGTTTTCCCCCAAAAATTTCTCAGAGGGAAGAGCCAGTGAGTGTAGTGTGAGAAGAGGGGGAGGGAGTTGAGTCCATTATTTGAATGGACATTAACTTGGCGACTGTATTTCTCTATTTCTCTTAAGTATTAATTGTGTGCATGTACCATCATAAAATTAAGATGTTATTTTTACTACAACATAGTTATTTGTCGTCAAAAAGTGGAGTTTGGGGGTCGGGCTGGGTTCTATTGGAATTAATCCCATATGTTCTGTTATTCACTTAACACGGTTTTCACTTAACGCGGGACCCTCTGGGTTCAATTGACCGCGTTAAGTGGGGTACAACTGTACTTCATTTTTAGTCCATATAACATGCGGACTTTGAACATATAATATATATATATATATATAAATATAAATATATATATATATATATATATATATATATATATATATATATATATATATATATATATATATATATATATATATATATACTGCTGTATATATATATATATATATATATATATATATATATATATATATATATATATATATATATATATATATATATATATATATATATATATATATATATATATATATATATATCTTGATAAAATCACACGAAAAGGGAAACAATGGAGCACCTTAGCTTTCGCTTTATTCAAGACATCTTATCCACGTTATCATTGTGGATCTACATGATATATATATATATATATATATATATATATATATATATATATATATATATATATATATATATATATATATATATATATATATATATATATATATATATATATATATATGTGTGTGTTATTAATATTATTAAAAAATACAGACTAATTTTCTGGTAAATATTCCATGCTGTGATGTTTTTTTAAACTTACTATTTTTAAACTACACAAGCAGAATTACATGCAAAACTATTATGCTCACATGCACATGCACATTGTATGTACATAAATAGAGTACAGCATAGAGGATTGATCCTAAAAGTCTATTTTCTAGCAAGGCTCACAGCCGGGTGTGTCTCGTTACCACGCTGATTCTCCAATGTCAGAGTACAATACTGAGGTCATCACTGTTATAGTCATCTTCAACCAATAGTATTGCGGTGAAAAACAATTGGAATATGAACAAGAATATACTAAACCTCCTATTGAGAGTAAGACCTCCCCTAGCAGTAGAGTAAGACGGTGAGGTAGACTCGGCCAGGTGACGGATGAGTAAGGCTTAATTTACCATAAAAAAGTTAAGATATTAAGTCCGACGTGAATGAAAAAATATCCATACTGACTTGAGACTTTACATGTGATTCGTCAAAAAATACTTGCATGTCACAAAATACTCATGACTGAACTTGAAACTCATCAATAATGACTTGGGACTTGACATGGCACGTGATATAAATTAACTATAGACATGTCTCCTTTGAAGTGTGATAACGGAGCAGGCACTTGACTTTTATCAACACAGTACAGTAGTCAAGTACAGCTGGATAAAACTATATAGTACAGTACTATATAGTCATGACCGCTCTTGGTGGTTATCAGTTGGGGATGATTCAACTTGTGATTGGCCTCTAAAGCTGCTAGGAGTGGCACAAGTAGTGCTAAGTCACTAAGACCTTCCTCAAGAGAGGTAGTTTGCTTCTTATATCTCTCCTGAGGACAACAATTGTAACTGGGAAATATTGATGGCAATAAGATCAGCCTCTTGCTATCAAAGGGGCGCATTGTGCTGTTCAAGCGAAAAACCAAAGCGTAATGAACACGAGATCATTACAATGTATCAGCCCCTTCACAGTCTATTCAGGCATTCATAAGTAAGGGGGGAAAGCACGAAAGGAAAAATTTGATATTTTCAGCATGCTGCCTTAAGAATATTGATAAACTTACGATCATTGGTACAGCAATTTGTTCTTACATTTTACACAACGCATCATAAAATCTAACACCAGTGAAGGAATGGTATGCCTGCTGCTACCTGCATCAATCTTGTATGGTTGATAACTACTGTACTCATTTTATGATGCAAAGATGAAAATATAAATCTGAAAAGAGAAAGATTGTAACAGTTTAAATCCAAATATTACACCTACTATAAAAGGCTATGCATCACTGTGTAGTATGAACAGTAGTATAAAAAGTTATGCATTTACAAATTTATATGACAGCATTTATACATTTTTGTGGGACTGTACTTGGCATGTGTATTTCCATACATTTATTTATAAATGTGAGAATGCAGAATATAAATATTTATAAGTACGGAGACATGTGTATATGCTTTCTTTTTTGGCAATACAGTGGTCTCTCGGTTAACGAACGCCTCAGTTAACGAAATTTCGGTTAACGCATTACCTTCCATAAGAATCTTCATTTTAGTTGACAAACAAAAATTCGGTTAACGAAATTCTTACAAAAATGTTTCGACATGCTTTGGCTTGCTCAACAGCTGGAAGAGTAGTCCGCCAATACAGAAATCGGTTCTAGGCTTACATTCATTACCATTTGAGTAAATATCAAGAAGGTTGTACTATTCAATAATTTTCCAAGTTTTATATTAAAATTTTTAGTAATTTTAACACTTATTTAACATAATTGCAGTACAGGGAACTAGTTTTTGGTGCACCCATCAGCCACTTCACTCACCCACCAAGGCCTCAGTTTGTATGTCTGTTCAGTGAAGGAATCATCTTGCTTTTGGGTCTCTTGAACAGAGTATTTTTACATTTTTACAGTACAATTATTGGTCATTCTGAAATGTATTTAACATATTGACAATATATAGTGCAGTGCAGTGTTGATTTAAGGAAAATAATCTTGAATTACACCTAGTGAACTTAAAATTTCATGGGTGAAATGACGGCATCAAGCATGGGGTGATTTCTCTTCCACCCCCACTTCCTTCTTTTCTCCCTTCTCCTCCACCCCCACTCCTAATTCCCATCATCATCAACCAGGAACCTTCTACATACACACCTCAAAGTAAGTGTACTTTAATACATTTTTTTTTACTTTGTATGTAATTTTCGGTGAGCTGAAACCAATTACCCAATATCCCATTGAAACAATGGATTCGGTTAACAAAATTTTTGGTTAACGAACGACTCTGTGGAACGAATTGTATTCGTTAACCGAGGGACCACTGTACGTACTTATATATAATAATCAAGACATTTCTTAAAGTCTTTACCATAAGCTTGGAAATTTAATTCGAAAGAAAAATGGGAAACAACAGAAACTAAATACAATGCGTAACTGAAACAAATATTGAGGGATAGGGAAGACGACTGTAACAATGGCAACATCATTCTTTTCAAGCCTCAAAGAAACAATAGGAGCATTTGCAATAGTACTGGTATGTACAGAATTCACAGTACAGTAAAAGTCCAAAAATCCGGATGCCAGAAATCCGGACCACCCGAGAATCCGGACTTTTCGAAAACTCAAACTCTATTTTTTTTTTAGCTGGCTTTTGTGTGTATGTGTGCATGTGTGAGCGCCACAGCTGCACAGCGACAACAAGCGACCACGCGGTTACCACTTTAAAACGAGCAATCAAACTGTGACAACGTATGTAATTTTGAGTCCTACTCTTTCCATTTACAGAGTACTGTTCAAGCCCATAATAATGGCTCCTAAAGTAGATAAACTTCGTTGTGTGAAGAGAAAAAAGAACACGTTGAAATTGAGTGACAAACTTGAAATAATTAAGAAACTAGAACGTGGTGTGAGCAATACTGTTCTAATGGAAACATACGACATTGGAAAGTCTACAATTTATGATATAAAAAAGGCAAAGAATAAAATTTTAGAATTCACAGCTTTATCTTTAAAACTGCTCGTTTTGATAAATGAAGCATGCTATATTTGCTAATGAATAAACTATCAAAATGTACCTGTTCATCTCTTCTTTATTTCTCCTGAAATTTGAATTTTAAAAGTACTGCCTGAGAATCCGGAAAATCCGAAAATCCGGACCGACCCAATCCCCAAGCAGTCCGGATTTATGGACTTCTACCGTATGTATTTATTCTTGAAGTTGTAGAACATCTTGTACTTCATTGTCTTCAACCCTTATGGTGTGAATATTCTTCCTATTACATGCTACAGCAATGTGTCCCTTGGTGTTGCACTTGTTACGCATATAGTCTCGGAACCGGCAATTTCCTCTCTGATGCCTGGGTTTTGTGCAAGAGAAGCACTTGTATGTGTAGAAGGCTTGACCTGAATAATTTCCTTCCCTAGCAGTTGAGTGGTTATACTGCTTGGGAATGGCCCTTGCCTTGCGCACTGGGAGACATGATTTTCTTGAGCGCTGGCTTTGATGCACCGAAACTTCATCACTATCTGCAGCTTGAACTTGGTGAACAGGCGCATTTTGATTCCGAAACTGCTGCGTCTCAACGCCAGCAACCTCATGAGCTTGGGCTATTTGCAGACATTCTTCAAAAGATCTTTCGGCGGTAATCAGCTTCTTTTGGGTCTCAGCACTGTGGATCCCACTTACAAACTGATCCTTCAAAGCTCTGGTGAGGAACTGGCCAAAATCACATGTTGCAGCCCTGTGTCTTAGCCTAGCACTGTAATCTGCAATGGACTCATTTGCTTCCTGAATGCATCTGTGGAATTTAAAAGTTTCAGCAATGTGAAGTCTTTTGGGGTTGTAGTAGTCTGTCAGTAACTTAATTAGTTTATCAAAAGTCTGTTCCTTGGGTAACTTTGGACTGCATAAATTGTGCAGTAATTTGTAGGTACTCTTAACCAGGACAGTTATCAGGACAGCAACTTTTCTTTTACTAGCAGCCTAAATTGTGGCATCATTGGCAGCAGCAGGATACGTAAGTGCCAATCTAATTTGCACAGAAATATTGCTCTAATCTCTCACTGTAACTAGTGAAATCCTCTGTGGAAGGATAAAAAAAATCAATATAGCCAAGCAAACCTGAACTGCCATTTTGGGGTAGCACAAATGTTTTGAATCAGGCTGATTCTTCTAACTCGCCCTTCTCTCCTTTATACTTTAATTCACTCTTCTAAAGTGACTCTGGTAATACTGTAAGCCTTACTGTACAAAGCGATCCCAACCTCGTGACCAAATTCTGTGGCGTCTTCATTTCTTAAGGCTATTCATGTAGAAGAGACTGAGGCACAGTCTTCTAAATCCCATGTTTATTTCCTGCTCCCTTTACAGTGAGTCTACATATAAATCAACCTCCCTACAGTGAGTCTCCATATAAATCAACCTCCCTACAGTGAGTCTCCATATAAATCCACCTCCCTACAGTGAGTCTCCATATAAATCCACCTCCCTACAGTGAGTCTCCATATAAATCCACCTCCCTACAGTGAGTCTCCATATAAATCCACCTCCCTACAGTGAGTCTCCATATAAATCCACCTCCCTACAGTGAGTCTCCATATAAATCCACCTCCCTACAGTGAGTCTCCATATAAATCCACCTCCCTACAGTGAGTCTCCATATAAATCCACCTCCCTACAGTGAGTCCCCATATAAATAATCAACATTTAAAGTAAATAAATACAGTTGTTGCTGTAATAATATAAATTATTCCTTTATACAATTATTTGTACAGTAATATATAACAACTATCCCTATATATGCAGATGCTGTACAGTCACCCAAAAAAGTCCTGTCGCGAACCACGATTCAGACTCGTGAACCCGAAGTAGTAGACGCTCATACATTAGTCTGTCCATAAATGCTTCAGATTCAAGAGTCTGAATCTCGGGGTTCATGGTTCACGACAGGACTTTTTTGGGTGACTGTACAATAGTAATGAAGCATAGAAACAAAATAATAATAATTAAACATTATTACCGGTTTCACAGCCTTAAGTAAAATAGGGTTAAGTTAGTCTTGACAGAGTTCTCAACTCATTCTAAAGTGGACATTATAAATGGCAGAGAAGATATGGGATCAAGATACAGCACAGCACAGCACAGCACAGCACAGCACAGCACATGCTTTTAAGAAACGTCTTAAAAATTAGAAACATAAGATATACTTTCAATGTTTAATCCATGACAAAGATAAAGATTTAACTTTAGGAATGATTCTATGTTTACTGTATGTGTTTACTGGGTCTTGTTTGGGTGATCTGTTGTAAATACTGTAATCAGATAATCAAATAGTACAGTACAGTACAGTACTGTATAGTACAGTACAGTACAGTACAGTACTGTACAGTACAGTACAGTACAGTACTGTACTCACAAGTGTCATGATTAATTGAACAATTTATATATTAGAATTCTTGCACATCAACATAGAGCATATTATATTACTCAAAATAAATGAAGAAAAGTCAAAATTAAACAACATGTACATTTTCAGCACCAATCATGCATGCTTCACAGCTACTGACGTCATTTAAACCCTAGACATTCTTTGTTAACTTACCGTTCACACAAATTGGAATTTTCAGAATTTGCCTCCAAGTTTCACACCAACCTGTACAGCAGACACTGTACTATATGAACTCCTGCCACACCCAGAGGGAGAGCTGCTTTATACCGTACCACATTACTGTTACACCAAGTGATTTGACTCACTTCAGTCGTTTTCTCTCTTTTTCCTGATGCCTAAAATTAATTGACATACAGTAATGATAAATAACCTACAAGAGGGAAACAAAATTGCATCCATTTGTATAGTATAGTACAGTACTGTATTCTAAAAATACTGTAATCAAACCAACATTTACACAGCACACACAAAGAAAGCATACATGTCTACAGTATACTCTCTGTATTTGTGAATTCCAAGTATTTTCAAATTGGTAAATGTACAGTACATTTCCTAATTTGTGAAACCCTGACCTATGGTACTGTAATGGCAAGTTTGCAAGCCCATCACCCCAGCCACCTCACCATGCCACTACCAATACTGGGACCACAAAGGGGAGTTGTACATATGCTGATGTTTGGTTTGTCTGTGTAGCACTTCACTGTGCCTCTAAACTTACTGTAAACTTGTGCTATCTTCTTGCATGTTGCATGTGTTTAATCATGGCCTCTAATTATAAGATGAGTGGGGAAGTTAAGGCTGTTGAAAATGCAGAAATAAAATAATGACGAGACTGAGCAAAAGACTGTTTGTGTTAGACAGGTGTGAGTGTATCTACAGTAGACAAGCACACTGGTATTATAAAGTCCGCTGTCTGGAGCATTAACCCCTGGGGGTAACCAGAATGAAATGGTAAGTGCAGAAATGGTAGCAAAAGGGTTAGGTAAGGAAAATTAAAAAGCCAATATGAGAATTATCACAGCAAAGGCTGCCATAACTGCTAAAGGTAATACAACTGTGCTTGGTAGAGCAGTAACTTACACATCTCTCACTACAGGGTCCTGGAGTTGTGACTTGGCCTGGGACACTTGTGGGAAGTGTTATCCAGTGTAACCCTCACTACCAAATATAGTATTTTCTAGATTCAATGAACTAATTCGAGCCGCACTTGTTGCCAAGCACAGGTGTGTGTTCCTAAGCACTCCTCAAAAGCTGGTGTGTGTGTGTGTATATGCACAGGTGTTGCAAGTGTTCCTCAACGTGTGTGTGTGTGTGTGTATATGCACAGGTGTTGCAAGTGTTCCTCAACGTGTGTGTGTGTGTGTGTGTGTGAAGACATAATAATAATAATAATAATAATAATAATAATAATAATAATAATAATAATAATAATAATAATAATAATAATAATAATAATAATAAATAATAATAATAATAATAATAATAATAATAATAATAATAATAATAATAATAATAATAATAATAATAATAATAATAATTAACAGTTTATTGAAAAAGTTCTGCTGCCCGAAGGCTGAAAATATACATTGGACATAAATGACTTATTAGTTACATTGGTGGTTTAACAAAAGCCTTCAATAGAGAAAGGTAAAGGAACATACAGTGAACATACAGATTATTGTAGGTGTTGAACAGCAAACACGTAGTGTAGTAACTCCCTCCCAGATGGTGTTAGGAGGGACCTCACGTGATGTAGTAGTTCCCTCAGATGGTGTTATGAGGGACCTCACGTGGTGTAGTAATTCCCTCACAGATGGTGTTATGAGGGACCTCACGTGGTGTAGAAATTCCCTCACAGATTGTGTTATGAGGGGCCTCACGTGGTGTAGTAATTCCCTCACAGATGGTGTTATGAGGGGCCTCACGTGGTGTAGTAATTCCCTCACAGATTGTGTTATGAGGGGCCTCACGTGGTGTAGGAACTCCCTCACAGATGGTGTTATGAGGGGCCTCACGTGGTGTAGTAATTCCCTCACAGATGGTGTTATGAGGGGCCTCACGTGGTGTAGTAATTCCCTCACAGATGGTGTTATGAGGGGCCTCATGTGGTGTAGTGTAGCAACTCCCCAGATGGTAAGCTATGAGGGCCCACTGCAGGTACCCTCACAGATGGTGTTATGAGGACCCCACGTGGTAGTAACCTCACAGATGGTGCTGAGGGGCTTGATGGTGTAGTGAACTCCCCACAGATGGCTTCAGAGACCTGACGGTGTGTAGTAACTCCCTCACAGATGGCGCAGGAGGGACCTGACGTGGTGTAGTAACTCCCTCACAAATGGTGTTATGAGGACCTGACGTGGTGTAGTAACTCTCACAGATGGTGTTATGAGGGACCTCACATGGTGTAGTAATTCTCTCACAGATGGTGTTATGAGGGACCTCACATGGTGTAGTAATTCTCTCACAGAGGGTGTTATGAGGGACCTCACATGGTATAGTAACTCCCTCACAGATGATGTTATGAGGGACCACACATGGTGTAGTAATTCTCTCACAGATGGTGTTATGGGGGACCTCACATGGTGTAGGAACTCCCTCACAGATGGTGTTATGGGGGACCTCACATGGTGTAGGAACTCCCTCACAGATGGTGTTATGAGGGACCTCACATGGTGTAGGAACTCCCTCACAGATGGTGTTATGAGGGACCTCACATGGTGTAGTAACCTCACAGATGGTGTTATGAGAAGTTTGATGTGGTGTAGTAATTCCCTCACAGATGGTGTTGAGGGACCTCACGTGGTGTAGTAATTCCCTCACAGATGGTGTTATGACGGACCTCACGTGGTGTAGTAATTCCCTCACAGATGGTGTTGAGGGACCTGACGTGGTGTAGTAATTCCCTCACAGATGGTGTTATGAGGGACCTGACGTGGTGTAGTAACTCCCTCACAGATGGTGTTATGAGGGGCATCACGTGGCATAGTAACTCCCTCACAGATGGTGTTATGAGGGACCTGACGTGGTGTAGTAATTCCCTCACAGATGGTGTTATGAGGGACCTGACGTGGTGTAGTAATTCCCTCATAGATGGTGTTATGAGGGACCTGACGTGGTGTAG